CTTTCGCATGTTGTATTTCCTGATAGCAGCTTGGCATTATGATTTTGCAGTATGCCATCCAATTTTAGATTATTTAGCAGAAGGAGAACTGGGGTGGTTTTGTTTTGGTGGGGTTGATTTGGTTTTTTTTAGGTTCACATTGGCTTTTCCACATTAAAAATCTATTCTCTGTTCTTGGCAAGCAACAGTACTTTGTGTCATATAAAGGGAGCTGCAGCATTTCAGGGAATTCCTTTTAACTTTCTCAATGCTGTGCTGGCTAATCACTATCAAAAGCTTCCTCAGCCCTCAGCAGAGTGCCTTTAATTGGCCACTTGCATGGTCAGTTCACAGGCTGCAGTGGAAACCAAGTGGTAAAGTGTGAACAACCAACTCTGGCACCATAAACTCGGTGAGGGCTCTGAAAAACCTGTGGCTATTTATATACAAGGCAGTGTTTTGTCATGCTGATTTTTATTAGCGCAGATCAGATACAGACAACTTGGGAGATGTCGCGGGTGAGTCACAAAATGCTCAGCATGATCTGTTTAAAACAGGCAAGGCTGCAAACGAGGGATGGGGCTTGGAGTCACTGTCCTTCCCCTGGCAAGCAAGGGCATGGTGCAGGGCCAGGCTGCCACAGCTCCCCTTCTGGTTATCCCACAGGCTGGATCATCCCTGGGTGGAGGGAAGTCTGCCTGGCTTGCAGAACCCATCCACAGGAAGGATTTTTTGGTTGTTCTGTGCAGATATATGTTCAGTAGGTGGCAGGAACCTTGGCCATGGCAATACTTTCAGTGGTCTCAAAAATGTTGCAACAAGTGACATATCAGTGCTTTCTTTTGGAGGATTAAAATTTATTTTTACCTTTAATGCATTTATTTTACTGCCTTAAAAGGTAATGTCAGGAAAGGTAATGTCATCCCTGGAAGTGTTCAAGTCCAGGCTGGATGTGGCTTTGAGCAGCCTGGTCTGGCAGAAGGTGGCCCTGCCCATGACAGGGAATTTGGAGCAAAGTGGCTTTTAAAGTGGCAAGGCTTGGCCTTCCAAGCCAAACCATTCTATAATTTTACAGTTCTATGATTCTATGATGATTCTGCAATGATTCTATGATTCTATGAAAGCTGGTTTAGCAATAAAGCAAAAAATGGGTGATGCCAGAGGAGGACACTTTCTTCAGAGTCCTCTGTGACATCTAAAGCTGTTCCATCTGTGGCTGCCCTTATATTTTTCTGTGGGTAGGGCACATGTGCAGCACCAGTAGTCCAGGTCTTATGAACCTGCAAAGCTACTGGCCTGAAATCTCACCTTCCTAACAGCCAAGCCTTAGGATTTATCTCCAGTGTTAAAATTGGAATTCAAAAAATTTCATCCCGAAGACTGACAAAATTTTTTAGCCCTGGTGACAACTTTTTGTTATAATTTTGGTAGTCCCGGCAGTGATCAATTTGTGTTTGTTCTTTTTAGAACATTGTAAACAAAAAAGTTAATTATGAGAAATTATTATGTCTGCCTACCTATTTATTCTGGCTCTATTCATAGCAGCATTAAATGTGCTGCAGCTATACTTGTGCAGTTATAAAGACTCCACCTGTGCCACATATTTATAGAGCCTGTACAACTTTAGAGAGAAATTGCTCTTGTTCAGAGCAAGGGCACTGCACATTCCCAGCTCATCCATCGCCTTCCCCTTTCCAGGAACAGAAAAAGGAGCATCACTTGGTGGAAAATGAAGTGCAGAATCTGTATGGTGGGGTCTGGATTTCTGTTTTATATGGTCCTTACTGAGCTGGACAAACTCCCTTTGCTGTCAGGGTGTGGATAATCAAACCTGAATGCTGTCTCTACCATTATGAAGCCTTCCCTAATCGTAGGCAAGGGGTGAAACTGAAAACATGGGAATGGGACATGATGTGTGCATGTATGTGCACCTGTGTACTTATAAATAAAAGTTGTGCCAAAGAATCACGGAGTCATTAAGGTTGAAAAAGATCTCCAAGATCATCAGGTCCAACCTTTGACCAGACACTACCACATAACACAAAGTGCCACATCTACTCAGTTTCTTGACACTTTCAGGGACAATTGACTCCACCACTTCCCTTGGGAGCTTTGACCACTCTTCCAGCAAAGAAATGTTTCCTAATCTCACCATATGATGTCACACAGCACGTCAGGTTTCTATACATTTCTATTGAGTATGAACACTAATTTTGAAAAGATCCTATCCCAAACCAAACAGGTTTCTTGCCTCGGTGCTGTCACACTTCACAAGAGAGCAACCAGTGCTCATTGGAGCCAAAACCAGGCAATCAGGTTTGTTTGTAACATTAATAATGAGCAACATAAACCTCGCAGCTGGTGTCTCTGACCATTAATTTTGGATGCTGCCGTTGTTAATAACCAGGGAAGTAACACAAGTGAGAGCAGCAGCATGTGGCAGATGCAAGAGTGAGTATCTGTTACTGAGCTTGGAGCTGGGCTTTCCTGGACCACTTCCAGCTTTGGCAGGGGGAACTTTAGCTGAGTAAGAAATCCAGGCTGTCAGTCCTGGAGTAGCTGGCAGAGGTGCAAAGGCTCCCCAGGCTTTGAGAAAGTGAAATAGCATTTTTTCCTTCCTTTCCTTGCAGGATGCATTCCATTATAAAAAGTTAAAAATCAATACAGGGTGTCACGCATTGTAAATGTTCATAATTTATTATGTGTTTAAGTGTGCACAGCACATACACCACAGTCTTGAACAGCACCTGTATAAAACTACAGACAGATTCTGGTAAATAGTGAAAACTCATACCATGTAACATTGCTATCAAGGTTGCATCACAATATTTAAAAGTTACAACAACTACCTCTGAACATGTCTCATGTGAGGCCGTTGGTTGTGGATTTAATGAAGTGAAAAATGGCAAAGAACCATTCCCAGAGAGAACCTTTGTGGTCTGATTTTGCTATCTGAAATCTGGAACAAAATCATCAGTTGTCAGAGGTAGTGGTGATAAATACACAATGATTACTCACATACAGGAAACATAGAAAGTACAGAAAATTCCCAGTTTTACAGAAAAAGAAAATATTTTAAAATCTTTAGGTGTGATATTTCTTTTTCCTTAATTATTTTTGCTATGAGGGCAGCTGCCTTAAGGTCTGGTCCTGGTCTGCCCTGATCTTACTGAACTTTGGTGAGTAGAGTTTCTCTTCAAGGTCATGTGTAAGTAGAGGATACAGGCAGGTCTATACCATTACAAAGAAACAAAGGCTTTAGTGTAGGAATGTAAAGAGGTAAAGAAAAAAAGCTGAATCAAAGATTTGTATGTAGCTGGAAATAAGTTTAGATTGGAAGATGTTCTGTAAATGTTCTCTAAGTCATCAAACATTGTGGTTAGTCCTGTCTCCCCCTTAACATATTGATGCCCTGAAGATGAAGTATCTTTTAAATAAAAAATAAAAGAAGAAAGGGGGGGAAAAAAAAAAGAAGGAAAAAAAAAGAAGGAAAAAAAAAGACACATGAATCCTTTTAGTGATTCCCCCATAATCAAACCTATCTTTTCCTTCATCATGCTAGAGACATAAGTTACACTTGCAAAATATATAAGGAAAAATATAGGGTTACTTGATGACGATATAGTACTGCAGCCTGACAGCTGCCTGCAAATATTTTCACCATGATTACCCTTACTAAAAGTAAACCACTGGGTAAAGATAGCTCAAACGTGACAAGGCTCAAATAGGATGCAACCAACTCTATCCTGAATACTTTTGGCTACATATGGAAAAAAAGAGAGATTTGGGATTATGCTTGTTCCCCCAGGCCCTCCTCCAGAACTTCAAGCCCAAGCAGAAAAGTGGTACCTTCCTCCCATGCAGAATTTGTTACGAGACTGGCTTTGAGAGTTAGTGAGGTAGAAATGAATCAACTCATCAGGGAATGAGACAGAAAAAAAAAGCAGCATATTTCTCCTTTCAAATACTGCAACAAAAATAATAAATAGTACAAACCAACCTAAATTCCTCCTCATCAATCTAAATTCTTTCTATGGAACTTGTGTTTGCTACAAACCAGCAAATGCTTTTCCCTTGTAGAAAACGTAGGAGTGTTACAGAGCTCCCCACACTTTGAAAAATGAATGTAGTCTCCAAGTAAAAAAGGGAATTTGATTTGAGCAAAGTAGAGCTGGTTCATTGTAGCATGTTCCACAGTGCGTTTGCTGGGGGAGGGACAGACACGTTACTTTTTAGCCTCATGCCAAGCAATTGTACCAAACAAAAGCTCCCATTAAGGGCCACAGTAGATCTGAAGAGAAAACCCCAACCCAAGTCCTACTGAGCCGACAGAGGTGTTTCAACTTCTCCGAGGAGATGGACTGCAGGGCAGTTCAAAGTTCAGTGCTGATGGATCTAAAAACAGATTTATGGGGTAGCTGTGCAGCATCGCACTCCCGTGCTGGGGTAAACCGATCCCATTGCAGTGAAATAGCAAAGGGGATCAGGCATTGTGTGTGGCTCCACGCTGGCATCCCACCCAGGCACCTCCTGCTCCCGGGCCAGGAGCTGCGCTGGGAGCCACCAGTGGTTTGGAAAATGTGCAGGGGAGGACAAAGCCACCATAAAACACAAACAAACAAACAAACTCACACCTGTACGACAATAAACACCGAGCAACACAAAAACAGTGCAAAACATTGTGAGAGAGGAACTGGATATCACCTCGGCTTAGGACATGAAGTAGCAGCACAACTGTGATAACTCAGAACTGAATTAAATAAACCACAAAGCAGAAGACTTCTCCTGTTGCACCATGAAATGAAAGACCTTGGGTTGGAGGTTTGTATTGTTTTCAGAGATTAAAAAAAAAAGTAACTATAAATAAGTTTTGTGACAATATATACATATTTAAATAATTAACTTAAATATCTTACACCTACTCTTGCATAAAACTCTCCAGTAAAAGTGCACCATGTTTCTTTTCTCCAAAGATGTTCTGCGTCTTCCCCTGTGCTGAGGTAGGTCTGAAGGGAGATGTCTCAGATTCTAGGAAGAAAATGTGTCACTGTCATTGTGGGAGATACTTTATTGCCTTTCTTTGTTCTTCCATTTTTGCTCAGGGCTATGTACATCCCGGGATAAATCCTGGATTCGTAAGCATTGTAGTTGTTTGGCAGGAGAATCTCTTTGAATTTGCACTCATCATTGAAATGGGCCTGAAATGAAAAGGAAAGAATGAGAGGGAAGGAATTTTAAACATCAGGTATGGAAATATCCTTGCTACCAGGTGTGGAAGGTGTGCTGTGGGCAAATGTGCAGGTGAGCCCCCTCCACTTAGTAATCTTTTGAAGTGGCCTCTGAAGCTTCAAACAGGACTCAGGAGCCAAAGGATCAATTAGGGATGCCGTGCCCAGGCCAGGCACGTACACCTAAAGGTGGGAAGGACACCCATGGAAGGGACAGAGTCACCTTAACAGAGCTGGGGTAGGTAAGGCCCAAGCCCAGTTCCATGGTCCTGCTCATGGAATTGCTCCTGTTTATCCCACCAGTAATAAATTACCTGAGAGGCTTCAGAAAAGTCAGAATACTGGCACTTTCTCACGTTGCTTGAGGAGAAAGAGGCATTTTATGTCATCATGGACAGTATTTTTTCTTCTTTAGATTTAAAATCAAAGGAAGGATTAGGATAACTTTGGCTAATGGATCAGGAAAACAGATCTGACAGCAGGCAACCTTTCAGGGATGTGGTTTCATTTGCAAGTACGTACAAAGAGGGACAGGTGTTGCAAGTGTCTTACCTGGAAAGGAACAAATGAGCTCATCTCTTATTGCTGGGCAAAAACCTCGGGGTTTGTGAGAGAGGTCTCAGCCTGCCAAGCTGAACACTGCACTAGGGATTATTTTACCCAGGACACCAAGGCAGCAGTATCCCTAAGAAAGGATGCATTTTGGTGACTGATTCTGCCTGGCTTTTATATAAGGCAAAATCCTCCACAACAGGACCAGTGCCCCAGAAAATAATACTGGATACTACATGCCTTCATGTGAAAGTGCCCCAGTTAACTCTCACATATGTCACTCAGCCCAAGTTACTTCAGAGGACACTTGGGGAACATGAAATAGAAAGTCCATGGGTGAGGAAGGAGAGCCAGGAAAATGAGTTTAAAACTATGCTGATCATAGTCACTTGTGCAGAACTGAACTCAAAAGCAGGAGGACAGCTCAGCACGGGCAAAGATACACCCTGTTATTGTCCACCTCAGGTATATTTTACAAGATGTCTATCTTTTCCAATGATCCCATGTGAAAGAAGGTCTATATTATCTCCTAATGGATCTTCCTTTTTGTAAACAGAAGTTCAGACCCCAAGGATGCTGAACTGCCACAGGAATGTCTGTTCAGCAGCATTAACAAAAAGTGATCAATAGTTCACTGATGCATCACATCATAAAGTGTCACTTGTGGGGGCCTGGCTGATCACAAGTTCAGGTACCCTCTGAGAGATGGAGTGAATGATTGCCACACCTGCCTGAGGCTGTTTATACTTAGATATAACAAATATATGGACTAAACCTAGCATGTGCTCTTGCCACACAAATGACTGGCTGGTCTATGAGGTAGCCAACTTGTGCAGCCATGGCTGGGTGACTACAGTTCTTATGTGAGAACCAAGGAAGAATAATGCAGAAGAAAAGGTTTCACTCCAAAAATTCAGTAAGCAGTATAACTGGGCAGCACACCTTCTGCTGGCAAGGCAGGAAGGGCTGCTCTGTGCTGCCTGACCCAGGAGTAGGCAAGGATGGGGCTTGGCAGCTTTTAGAACCATGTACACATCTCACCCCAGCTGACCACGGTCCCCATGCCAGGCACACACTCAGTGGTTACTTACAGATCCATAGAGTTTGCCTTTGCTATTCATGGCCACGAAGAGTCCACTTCTGACACCAAATATGCTCACCACGCCTCTTTCCACAGGAGAAATTTCCAGCAGACCTACACAGGAGACACAGAAATCAGGGAGACAAAAGGGTGCTCCCTGGAGTGTGTGGTGACAGTGCTGTACCCACCCACAGGCTGCCATCCCCGGTGTGCCACATCCCAGTACTGCTGTGGGTGGCCACAGAACTCCAGCCTCATACTCCACGTGCTGCCCTATGCCCCATGCTGGGACCTCTCTTCTTTTAGATAAGTATCTATTTTTATTTTGCCCCCAGGCATCCTCTTGTGTGTAGACAAGGTTAAAATAAGCCAGAGTATGCTTAGGGCAAATGAAACATTTGTCATCATGCAGTTTATACTCCCGCTCCTGGATCTTATTGTTTCAGTTGGATATCAGAGTCGTGGGGCCACGGGGTTAAGTCCCCAGCAGATGCTTTTCAAGTTTGGGGGAGAGCTGGGCTCGCCCCGGTCGGAGTGGGCGGCTCACGGCGCTGCGGATCCTCCAGATGTTGAGGCAACCCCGACACCTGATGCCTGACGGCGGCAAGGGGACAGCACGGCACTGAGCAGCGCCGACGAGCCCCTCCCGAACGCCCGACGAGCTGCTCCGGAGCTCCCGATGGGCTCCGTCGCCGCCCCGCTACCCCGGGCTCCCTCCGCGCCTGGGGGAGCCGAGGGGCGCAGCCCTGCGGTGCTGCGGCCGGCCGGACTTTTTAGGGAAGATCGAGGTCTGCCGTGCACCCACCCTCCTTTCGGGTCATGCCACTCTCCGGGGCAGGTCAGTCGCTCCGCTCCCGCAGAACTGCCCTCCGGCGGTCCC